AAACGGTAGGAGAACAGCGTAAGCACTTTTAGATTCCAGAATGAGGTATTTTAAATTATAACATCTTAGAAGAAAGAAGGTCGAAAGTGGATTCCCGCATAACAGCGAGCAAAATTAGGATTGTTATTTCAAGGGCAATAGTGAGCCTTTTCCAGGTAAGTTTTTCGTAAGAAAGTAGAGAGAGCGAGAGAAGAAGAGAGAGCGTTAGAAAGAGAGAAAGAGAAGAGAGAGAAAGAGAGGAAAGAGAGAGTAAAGAGAGAGAAGGGAGAGAACGAGAAAGAGAAAGAAAGAGAGTCATTTTGCAATGTTAGTAGATAAAAGTAACATGTGACCGAATTATTTGAATACAAGGAGAAAAAACAGTAAATATACGCTTATTTTGCAAATCAGTATGCATTTTTAAATAAAATTGTTCGCGAGAACGACACAGATGAAATTTCTGGATGAGCTGACAATAGAAAATGCCTAAAATATCTGCAAATGCTGCTGCGAAAATACTGAAAAACAAATTCGAAAATCATGTTGTGGCATTAACAATTAAACTATAGAATGTAATTAAAATGACTAGATTGTTAGTTCCGTTCAGTTCAACGCAACCAGAAGATATTTGTGATCTTGAAGAATTCTCTCCCATGGAAGATTCACTGTAAGTGTAGTGCAATTCATTGTAAGAAAGGAGAAGGGCCAGAAAACGACAAAGAAATCTAAAAAATTGGAAAAATAATATCAGAAATGAAAACCGGCCGAAAAAAATCATATATCACGTAGCACGTAAAACAGCACGTAACATTGGGCAGATTCAAAGGATCTGTATCACCTCTGCCAAGCATCCGCTGAGGATTAATTGTTGTAAAAGGGAAGACAAAAATATGAAAAGAGATTGTGAATGACATAAATTTTATGATGAAATGGATGGATTTCAGGATCTGATTTGTGCAAATTATGAAAAACATTGTATGATGATTATTAACAAATAAAATATGTTTTGTACAGTTGTATACAGACATACTATATAATCTCTTGTCCAGCCCAATTCTATATAATCTCTTTTTGCAATAAATACAATAATATGTATAGTTCACCTTCCGGAGGGAGCAAACTTCAATTTGCTCTCCTGTATGATGACAAAAAGTGTAGATAGAACCCTCTCGTTTTGGAGTCGCGAACTCTAGAAAGTTATTTCTGCTGCTCGCTACTTTGGCATGACTGATTTATAGAAAGTAAAAGTCATAGGAAACAAGAATTGCCTGAATGCTATCAAATTCTCAACTTGTTGATCATATTCAATATTCACACTAGGATAATAATCTTCTGTTTTCAAATTTTTCTTACATCATGTCAGCTTGAATTCGTTTGAAGGACGATACAAAATTCATATATATTTAAGAATTTTCTTGGAAATAAAAGAAAAATAACGATAGCCGTTAGTACCGTAAGTGTAGTGCATACTTTTTTAAATCCTAGGAGGTGGTGGTGATCTTTCCTTGCTTAATGACGAGGTTCGACGATAACCTACACGCCGGCTAGGGGTGTTATCCACAACCAGGTATCTCCCTGTAGCGGGGCCCCACCCCAGGTGTTGGTGAGGAAGGAGGCGGAAAGATCACACGTAGCCCATGGCCCCTTTCTTACGGTATTGCTAGGTCATCGATTCTTTGTGGAGAGGCGGCATACAAAACCTTTGAGATGAGTTCCTTATTGTTATATATGTATTGAGAATCTCGAGGTATATTGACATACCAAAACGTGATGGTTATTTGCGCCATTAGTCTAAAAGGTCTTGTACTTGTTCTCATTACTGTACATCAATTTTTGTTTTTATGTAAAAAAATAAATAAGTTATATGAATATTTGAGCGATATGTGATTTTAGGATATTGCTCTGTAGAGAAATTTGCAAAGTACATTTTTATTGTCAGGATATTTTTGAGATCAATTTCCGGATTCCCTTTTCCATTCTTTATCAGTTCACGAGAGAGAATAGTAAATTAAAAGAGGGCAATCTATTCGAATTCTTTTAAAATGGTTTGAATTTTAGTATTGGGAAAAGGTGACTGGATTTGCAAATGTTCAACCCTCTTAAAATCATCAATTAGACGCACAGACACTCACACTCACATACACATTAGTTGCTGTCTAATGCACGACGGCGGCAAACATCTAGCTCACAAAAACACATCTGGCTTCAAATCTAGCTTCCGCTTCCATTTAAGTTATTTTTTATTTACTGATTCTGCTACTAAATATATAAAACATATCACTGGAAAATGAAACTATAACTTTAATTAATGAATTAATTAATACAATTAGTTTTGTGTTCAACCACACACACATTGCCACTCACCGATGGCTTGAATAGCTTCTCCAAATGTTGTAATTCAATATCCCTAACGTGTCAACTTAGAAAAATCAAGAATTTTTCATATTTACAGAAATAAAATGTTTCATAGCTCGGGCAACTGAATCTTCTTCAAAGTTTTCAGGGGGTCTTGGTCCCCGGCCCCCTAAGACAATAATGGAATGAATGAATTTTATATCAATCAGAATAAGTGAAGAAATAAAGTTGTAAATGGAGTAGGAGTAGCAAAATAAAACTTGTATCGCCCCGGGAAATTCAAACCATTTCATTTTGTTAGGGAAAGTTGGGTAATCTTGCAGCGAAAATAAACGATTTTTCGATTAACTGGTTTTTTGATTCCCTGACACCGTAATCGTGGATTTTGCATCTTTATGTTGCAAATTATTTTTTCTAATAAGTTTAATACATTTTGTGGGTCCTTGAGACGAATTAAGGCAAAATGTACATCCGTCTCTGAACAATTAGTTGCTTACTCAAGTTTGAGTAATTTCATCAAAACTTCCGAATTTTCCAAAAATTAAAATGCTCAACTTACACTTCTTCTAAACGATTTCAACGGTTTACATAGCTTTTGTTATTGAATTGAAAGGTACTGCACTTAAATAAAATAGTTAAATTATTTACTAAGAACTTAACTTTGAACGCGTTAGTGAGAGACTTTCGTGTCCCTTCTCTCTCTCTCTCTCTCTCTCTCTCTCTCTCTCTCTCTCTCT